TTGAAGAAGAAGAATAAATCACAGGAAAAACTCAGACACATTAGCGTTGGTGGAGTGAGAGCTTGAGAGGAAACCATAGAAAGGCATTTGCATCCAAAAGTGTTTCTTAGACCAATATCCCGAAAATGTGTTTAATAAATATTAATATATGCCTTAAATCATAACGTAAGTATCGATCTGTTCAATTTGATGCACGTGCACATGATGCTGTATATGTTATAGATGAAATATTAAACCAAGAAAATATTCAGTAAACGCATTGAAGACCAAACACGAGTAGATTTGCAAAAGGCCATTATGCTTTGATTGTTGTTTAATATTCATTACTTATTTATTTATTTATTTATTTTTTAATTATAGGAGACATTAATTACGAGTAGATTTTTTTAAACGTTTCACATATTTTAGCTTTAATCCCACAAGGTATTTCCCAGTAATGACCTCAGCCGATAATTTTAAATTATTAGTCAGTCACCATTGGTAGAGGACCATATATGTATGGGTTACATAGACAGTTAGGTTTATCAGTATATTTTTCTTGTCGAAAGCAATTCGTTTTTTTGTTTTTTGTTTTGTTTTTTGAGAAATAGTTGTTTAACAGGCATAGTCTCCATTGTCGTAAGGACGTGATTGCCATGATGAAAAAATATCTTTCGAGTAAGAAAGGTTATGTGTGTGTGTGTGTGTGTGTTTGTGTGTGTGCGCGCGCGCGTGCGTGCGTGCATAGTGGTATTCATGTGTATGCTTGTTTATATGCGTTTAATATAACTTGCCATGAATGTGTTTCGGTAGAAGAAATTACTTCATGCCTTATCAGTACCACGGAATAACCGTCAAACTCACCCGCCGCGGCCGCAACCAACCCGAATGCAATCAGCAACTTTCTGAACATGGTGGAACGGACGAGTAACGAGGGATGCGATAGCTCTACTATTTTATATATTTTAATCCAAATTTAACTGACCATAACCCCTCCTCCACCTCCTCCCCCACACAGAGAATATCTATCAATGTTTTATCGAATAATCTTGCTTTGTTTTCGATAAGTAAGTTGAATTCTGATGCAGACAATTCAGTAGTACCTCCCAGGGACGTGGGAACTGGTGATTGTCAACATCTTTGGCGATAAAGGGATTTAAAAATAAGGAAGAATGAAAGAAAACCAAGAAATAAATAATAATGTGGATATTACATTGTTTCGTGTGAGCGAAGAATGAAAATTGATTACTTACTATTTATTCATATTAGAGAAAAAACAACTGCATTTTTTCATTTGTTATAATGTTTTATATTAATACAGGAAGGTCCCTACAGTAGCTGAAGGTGAATTATGGTTAGATTTTAAGGTAGACGGAAACAGATTAAAGATATTTTCGAACAGATTTAAGAGCAGATTTGCGGTAAAGAATGATATGTGAGTACGTGATCATTATGAATAAAATTGATTAGATTAATGATTAGAGTAAAGAAGATTTTAGAAGTATTTGCATACTTCTATTTATTTTGTCTTTTGTTGCTGTCTCATGTGTGTGTGTGTGTGTGTGTGTGTGTGCATAATCAAAAAATGAACAGATAAGTACAAGACAACAGATATAAAGGTTAACGACTTTTAGAAACGCCTTGTAATTTCCCAGATGGTTTTTGTCCTTGGGACGTGATGCACAAATAACAAAAGAAAAGAAAAACAAATATGCGATGAGAATTTAGTCAGAATTTATATTGATTAATTTATATTTATTGTTATGATATTTTTATTTCTGTTGTTGTTTGTAAAGGACTATTTAATTCGATGCCGCCGGGAAAATACTGCGCTTTTTTTTTTGCTTTTTTTTGTGCAATGTCTCTGCACATAGATGGCTCTACTAGTACTTAGCCACAAAGGAGTCAATTAGCAGCCCTTGTGTCCTTACGTGATTTCACCTTTCATTGAATTGGCGGGGAAAAAAAACACTTTTTTACTTGTTATGTTGGTGTCATTTTTATTATAGACATTATAATTACTATAATGTTATAGGCATTAGTAACAGCAAAATAAGATAACGTAAAATATTTTCGTAAATCAAGGAAAAGGGTAAACGGGCGAGATGTATTCGTAATTGGCTCATCGGTGACTTAGTACAAGTGGAGCCATCTATGTGTAAAAACAATTAATAAACTAAACTCACAGTGGGCATGACACGTGCGTACATGCCATGCCCGTTGGATTTGGGTTAATGTTATCCGTATTCTTATAACGAGTTATGTCTTATTGTGTAATTGGTAATAATGATAGGGATGATAATGATAATATATATTAAAATAATGAAGACTGTAATAATGATAATGATGATGTCTGTGGTTATGACGGTGATGATGATGATAATGATAATCATGATGATAATAAAGCAAAATAGCATACTGGTAGTGATAATAAAATAGTAATGATATAAAAAAAAATAATAATAATGATAACCTCAGCCATCATCCGAATATATCTCATCTTCAGGAATCTACCTAAACTCACTTAAAAATTATCATTATTTTAATCCTCTCTGATCATTCCTCATTAACCTTAATTCCCCCTCGAACATCTTTTCTATTCCCTTTACCGCAAATCTGTTCTTGAAAATGGACCCAAACTACCGTCTTATTCTACCTCTATCTACCCTAAAATCTACTCACAATCTACCCTCTGCTATTATAAAGCCTGTATTGTATTCACCTAAAATATTTCGTTTATATTCACTGTGATATTCATCAAAATAGGGGGTAAATATAGAATAGGCAAGTTTACCCTAATGTTATTTTTTCTAATGCATGCGACATCTATTGGGCATTTACAAAAATAATCTCTTGTAAACACTGGAAACCATTTTGTTTCTTAGGGATGTCAAGGGAGCCGGCTGAGGTAATCTGTCATGCGCAATGTTGATGTATTATTTTATTAGAGTAAGTATTTGATATATTGTGATACGAAGACTTAAGTGGATGAAAATGTAATGAGATTAATATCTGGTGTTATATGAAATAAAGGTAATATGTTGCAACATGTGATAGTCAATATGTTTTTTTTTTTTTTTCTTTTTTTTGATTAACGAGAATGGGAAGGATAATTAAATTAGACTGGAAACGAAGGAATTAAATTTTAAACAGGAGAATTGCAGATATATTCAAGAGCCGACAGGTCCTACAAAATCCCAACGTGTATACTGGTATAACCCACCAAAGACTTGGCTTTCTGCCACAACTGAACTGAAGACTCTCCTGTAAGAAAATTAAATCAACTCAGTAGGGATTCCCATCAGAATTGATCTCACTCCAATTAACCCATCTTGCAGGAGAATTTATGGTTCAAGAAGAGTTATGGAGAAAGAAGTCAACACTATCTCGAGAAGTTCTCAAGCAAGAGGATATCCCACAGAATTGCTGCAAGACTATATCAACTCAACAGCTAGTTGGGTATCCGTTTGATGTTCTTTCGCTCCAAATAGATCGATAGCCTAATGCTAGTAGAGATAATTAGTGCTATTTGATCATGCCCGGTTACCTGAGGCCACTAGGGAAGTGAAAGGTGCTAGGAAAAAGGTTTTAACAGGAAAAGGGTATGAGTGTCAACGAACACAGCTTACAGAGGGGCTATTATCTTCTAGCCTGGCTCGGAGAAAAGTATTAAGATATCGTTAACTCTAGACACTGCAGTGAGTTTGTATCAGCTTAGAATTCACGGAAAGGCTTAAGAGTCAAAGTTTAATAAAAAGTTAAAAATTCCTTTAACTTGTTGATGGAGGTAAATCCACGTTCTCAGGATAAATTCTTACAAGAATTGAATAAGGAGAAAGAAATGCAGTATGTATGCAAACATAAAATTGAGAGTAAAGTGGACGAGTTAAAACAAAAAGCAAATTCGGTAATTCCTCAAGGTAGTAAGATTTGGTTGCATCTCAGATAAAAGTAAGGATTGCAAATGCAGTTAGGGAATGTGAACTAAACGTGTATTAAAGTAATGAAAATTAGATAATAGTAGTAAGTAATTTCTTCATGTTTTTATTCGGTTGATAGCAGCTGATAGGAATTCAATGAGTATTTCCTAGTTTACCAAATCAAGAAATGAATACCAAGGATACATTAGACATGGATGAATTAGAGAAAGAAATATCTAAATCAAACCATATTTTCTTAAAATCAAGTCCAGACCCTGATGCACATGCTAAGACTTTTGAGCCAAAAAGAGAGTTGAAGGAACTAAAAACAACAGTTGGACAAGATTGGTCAGGTAAATTTGTACACATCAAAGGTGTTTAACGTCACAATATTGAAGTGAATTAGAAGATTTCTGTGGATCCATAAAGAAGAAAGTTTTCTTACGGCTAAGAGTATATTAAAGAATAGGTTTGGTCATAACTTTATGAGAGCAAATGGTTTCAGAAGGAGTGGCCATATATTTCAAATAATAATGGACATCACCCACAGAAAGAAGCTGTTTTACCAATTCTTAATGATATACGGAATTTTGTGTGTATATTTCTTTTCAGATAGTGCAAGATAAACTCCATTTTGTATCTCTATCTTATTTTATTCCATTTATTTATCTTTGTGTGTGTGTGTGTGTGTGTGTGTGTGTGTGTGTGTGTGTGTGTGTGTGTGTGTGTGTGTGTGTGTGTGTGTGATTTCACTGCAGAGGTAATGGAATTTGTCACCCAGTCTCTTATAAAGCAATAATGGCAATGAGTCAAAGGCATAAACTCATTGCTTTAGGAAGTAAGAAGGAAGTATATCAGAATTAAACAAGTCTGGGATAAAAATACTAGTAACTAACACAACCGGTGCTACAGAAACATAAAGTCATAAAGGGAAGAGAGATGTCCAAATTTGGAGATCAAAATACTGTGCTAATCTGAAAGGTGAAACTTGAACAAATGTAAAGGGTTTAATGAACATGATCCTGAGGGAAAAAAAATACAGAGAAACCGCTTATTTTCAAGGATTAGCTAATGTATGGTCAGGGGTTGTCTAAAATATGATACATAAAAAGGAAACCAAAGATATTCCTTATTCGTATGAAAACAGAATAAAAAAACAAAAAAATGAAAGCAGGTATTCATCATAAAGGAGATAAGCATTTCAAGCTGTTCCTGATGGGCGTGACGAGAATCTTGAAGCACAACAAAACACAGGACGATGTTGGATTTAGGAAAATAAAACTCACAAGTAAAATAATATTTCAATTATAATAGACTGGAATAATGACATATCAGATGATTTGAAATAACAGTGGATAAGATAGAAAGATTACTTGATGCAGTTGAAAGGGTTGAACGATCCCAAGAGGCTACAGGCCCAATGAATTTAGAAAGGTCAAGTCAGTTGAACAGTTAAACAGGATAGTTATGGGTTATGCTCGTATTAAGACAAGTGAACAAGGTCAAGTTCATTATGTACTTGCTATGGCGAAGTCTAGAGTGACATTGCTGTGGCAAGATTAGAACTCACAGCTACATCTGTGGCTGCTAGCTCAACGTTAAAAGAAAAAGTTATCAGATAGTGAACGAATTCTTGTGGCCTGATATCAAGGTTGTACTTGGTTATATTTTAAGTAGAATAAAGAGGAACCATGTGTTTGGTGTCCAGTATATGAGATCGTTCCTTTCCAGAACAATGGAATTTTGATTGAATCAGTTCAAATTTCTACTGATACTGTTTTATATGGTCTTGTGTGGTGCAGCGATAGCGATCTCGTTTAGCAATCTTGCTGACCTGCGTTCGAATCCCTCGCCACCAGTGGATGGTAACCCCAGCCATTCCTTGCACACAGGGGATAATTTAGGAGGAAATTAAAAACAGACACTATGTCACACCAAGAATATCCATTGTAACAAGTGGAATCAAACTAAATTTTTGTATAACACTGAAAGACGGTACACAAATCATTTGTTAATGGACTCATAGTGAGACCGGGATTTTCCCACCAAAAATATTAAAATTGTGCCAAAGTATTTTCATAGT